CAGGGGGTTGTTGTGAAAAGCAAGAGCGTTAGAAAGCAAGCACTGCGTATAGGCAACCTGCTGCAGGCAGTATGTTATATTAACAGTGACACTAGCCGAGTGGAGTCAAAGGAATCCAATGCACATGTACACGCACGCACGCCCACACACACACACACACGCAGAGCTGCAGCGCCCATGCTGGGACATTAGCGATGACATTGAGACCCAGACTAAACTGAGCCAGTGGAGAGCCGAGTCCGTGGCCGGGGGAAGACATGCGGCCAGAGGGATGGACGAATGGACTGAAGGAGTGAAAGAGAGCTGCACAGAGACAGAGGTGAAAAGCAAAGCAGCAGAGGAGAGTGAGCTTGTCTCCAGGCAAAGAAACCGTTGGAGGGGAGGCAGAGGGAGGGAAGGAGGGAGGGGAGTAAGCATAAGAAACAAGTGAGATGAGTGAAAAATTGAACACAGTGGGGTCAAAGATGTGTTTTAAGGGAACATCATAGGGTTAGAAAAGAAAAGGGAGTGTGGTGGCACAGCGTGGTGAGACTGAAGAGCAAGGGCAATGGGAGGGAAAGTTTGGAATGAGTCAGGAAAGGAAGGGATGAACGAGCAAGGTAGTGGGGAAGAACAGGGAGCAGGCATACAGTGTGGAGGAATGAAACACACCAGAGGTACAAAACCAAACCACAAGTCATTCTGGTCGAGGTTAATGAATCACTTTGAGTTTTTTTGGCTTTTGTTTCTCTTTGTACTCCAACAAAAATCAACCAAAATTGAATCGTGAATTAGATTCAGGACGCTCAGGTGCAAATTCTCCAAACGTGAGAGTTTGTAAACCATGTTCATTTCCTTGCAGTGGCCTGTCAGTGGTGTGTTTAATACAAACTGTGCAGCCAAATATTATATATAGCCAAAGAAAGTGTGTTTTTTGGGAGCAGGGGGGTGTGTAAACAATGTGTTTGTGTCTCACAATGGAGAGGCGGCGAAGCTGACACAGAATATATAGTGTCTATAACAGCGTCTGACACTGAGGATTGGGATGGGTTTTTTTCCCCAACCTTAAAGCTACTTACGGGAAACTGTAAGTGGTTTAACTTGTTTCGCACTCTTCACAGAATGCCACATGACAACCAGCCAGCAGATCAGATTGACTTGTGGTTCCTTGTACCGTCAAACAGTTTGTGCCTTGGCAGGTGGGAGGGGGAGAGAAGAACAGAGGGATAGAGGAGAGAGGGGAGAGAGAGATGCGGAGGGGGTGAGGGAGAGACGAAGAAGGAAGGAAAAAGCTGGGAAGCCACCTGTCAGAAAGGGGGCCCCCAATGACACTCACAGCACTTCCTCCCCTTTCCTCCCCCCTTTCCCCCCTCCCTCCCCCCTGTCTCACCTGCGCCTCGTTCTCCTTCAGCAGTCTGCGCGTGCGTGCCCCCCCAGGGTCGTCGGTCACGTTCAGGATCACCACACTCTTCTTCTCCCAGCCGATGAACGAGCCGTCCGTCAGGCCCTCCACCACGGACAGGAAATCTTGGTAGCCGTGGTGACGTGTGGACACCACGGAAAAGGCGGTCCAATCGTACTCCTCCAGCACCTCAAAGATGACCTCTAATTGGAGGGCAGTAGAGGAGCTGAACTGGAGAAAGATGGAACCTGATTCCTGATTTGGGGAAGAGAGCAGCAGAGGTGGTTAAAAAAACAAAAAGTCAAATTCATCCTCTGAAGTTCTACCGTGTCTAAACTGCAGCTACGATACAGCGTGTAAGCCAGGGACAGTGTTTTCTATGCACAGAACTACAACTCCCTGGACTGCTCCATCTTAATGCATAACATCGAGGCATCATGGGGCTTGAAGTTTTTATGGAGCAGCAGCACTTGTGCAGCCACAGGGCTAACACAGCTTGGATTGTTGCTCAAATTCTCCCATGACTTGCAAAAGGGAGTGTTTCTAAAAAGTCTGTTTAGGGGAAGGGGAGGGGATGAGGAGCGCGCATCTTCAAAGCAAGTTCATCAAAGTGATACAATTTAATTCCTCAAGAGTAAATGGTTAAAACAGTATTTGTTAGCAAGTAATGCAACGCTTTTGGTACTTCCCTCTCATTTGGCGTTGGAAACCATGTGGCACTAGATTTCTCTGATGCACACAAATTCAGAATGCACACACACACACACTCGTGCCCTTACGCACTCATACACACACCCATGTCTGCTCATTGCCTCCCTCCCAGGAACATCAGAGGCTGAGCAACAGCCCCAGTTGGTGCCATTTACAGATCAAACACTGCAGAGTTTCAGCAGATCAGTGACCCTGACCTTCAACTTCCTCCTCCGTCCCACCGGCACTTTCCCAAACCTTTTCTTCACAGAGAGGATGTGCGACAGTGTGACATTGTAAGTCGTTACGGCAATGAGCAACTCATCCATTATACTTCATTCAATCTGTGTAAAAAAAGGACCAAGCCCTCTGTGCGTGTTTTATACTGCTGTCAATCCATACTGCTTTAATATACAGCACCAACCTAATTAACATTGTCCCACTCGCCAGTCCACACATTTGGAGCAGCACAATCACACGTTTGGGACACAAGTCCTCTTGTATCCATCCATCTCTCTCTCTCTCTCTCGCTCTCTCTCTCTCTCACACACACACACTCGCTCTCTCTCTCCCACCTCAATGCCAACACCCCTCCTCCTACCTGTGGCATCCTCCCCAGCCCCGCTCCCCCTCCTACAGCCACTATGGGCAGTCCTGTTTGCGCCGAGACAAACTCCAGCATGGGGGCCAATGGACCCCAGGCTGTGCGAGGGGGCCTCTCCTCTTCATAAACCAGACCCTGCAGGGGCCGCGCCGCCAGCAGCTCACACAGCTGGGACAGCACTGTCTTAGGACTACTGTCGTTCACCTGGGACATGGCAGATGAAGAATGAAGAAAGAGAGAAACATAAATAGAGATGGATTAGGTCAGTGACAAGAAGATCTGGCCAACTAGGACATGATGTCTTGAGTTGTGTTATCTATATGGAAGGTGTGTGTAGTATGCATGACATGTCTGGCTAGCACTACAAGCTGTGGTCAAAGAGTAGAGCCGGACTCATTCAGCAGAGACCACACAACGGCAGCAGTGTGCTGCCCATTCAGCTCAAATAATGAGGGCGAGTATGAATAATGGATGGTCATTGTTATTCCCTTCTATCAAGTAAGGCTGGATGAACAGTAGGTAGAGGAGACAGTGTCCAACCTGTAGCCAGATGACATTAGCAGAGCCCCACTGGGTGACCACGCTCTCCCCCAGGGAGCCGTATACCCGGCCGAAACCAGGGTAGAGCACCCTGCCTCCTGACCCCGCCACCGCCGCCTCTGACTGCACTGTATTACCAGCGTGGATCACGGCAATGTTGAAGTTCATCATGGCCCCTGCATCACGTTCCCGTGGGCTGGGCCGGAGCAGGAGGTGGGGGGAGGCGTCCACCAGACCTGTCCACTCTGCCAGGACCAATAGGAGAGAGAGAGTAGGTATGGCGACCATGGCAACCTGCCGAGGGGGGGAGGCAGATATATATCGCACTAAGAGAGGGTGCCTGAAAGAAAGAGAGACAGAAAGAGAAGAAGAAGAAAGTGAAGAAGAAGTGAGAGAAGAAGAGAAGTTAGTTAGACTTGTGTGGTTTTTGGTTGTGAGTTTATGAGTTTCAGCTTTGGCTGGAGAAAAAGCTGGACGGGGAATATGAAAAGCAGAGAGGAAAAAACAACAGAGGGAAGGAAAAGAAAGCAAAGCAGAGAGAAGATGAAATGGGTGCTATTTAGGCTGCAGGCTGAGAAAGAACAATATAAGGAAAAACAGAAACTGGCCGTTAGAGGAAGGAGGGTTAGAGGGAGAGAGAGTTAATAGCAGACAGAGACAAAGATGGGGGCGGAGGTGGTTATTGTGCTGCATGAATGATAACAACAATTAAGATCACTGTAAACACACTCGCCCTCACACAGCTGCATCCACACACAGACACATGCATGCAAGTGTGTGTGTCTGGTGCCAACTGCCCTCCCTCCCTTTCTCCATTTCCGTCTCACTTTCTCTCCTCCCTCTCTTCCATTTCTCTCCCATACTCCGTCTTTTCATATTCCCAATCTCTTCTCCCTATTTTCATGGCTTCAGTTACCAAACACAATTGCACTGATTAACAGCAGCCTGCTGACATAATATTCCCTCTAAAGTCACTTTCCCTTTCTCGGTCTTCATTTCCCCCCTTTCCTCCCCTCTATGTCTTTTTCTTTTCCGTCTTCATCCGACTCTCCTCTCTTTGTCACAGTCTGCCAAGTCCTTGACCCTGATCAGTATGTTAGGATAGGAATGAAATCAAATAGAAAGTGAAAGAAGAGGTGGCGGAGAGAAAAATTAACTGGAGGAATGAAAAGGGGAAGCATACATGGAAGAGAGCTGTGATGTAAAGTGCCGGAAATACAGTGTATATGACAAAAAGAAGATGGACTGACTAGTTGGAGGGGTAGAAGACGAGGGGAAAAGGAGAAGGCCGAACAGGGTGAGATGGTTCAAGGTGGAGTAAAATATGTGAGGAGAGTAGAAGGAAAAGAAATATTGATTACTAGGATGTGTATACGTGTTTGGTATAAACAAATAGACTGCCAAATCTGTTTTGAGTGACAAGGCTGTCTGTGTGTGTGTGTGTGTGTGTGTGTGTGTGTGTGTGTGTGTGTGTGTGTGTGTGTGTGCGCGTGTGTGTGCGTGTGTGTGCGTGCGTGTGTATGCGTGCGTGTGTATGCGTGCGTGTGTATGCGTGCGTGCGTGGGGGGGGTAATAGAATGAGAGGGCGAATAAGGGAGGCGAATATATTCGAGTAAGAAAAAGAGATGGAGGTGTGTAACGATCGGGAGAGACAGACCTGTTAGTAGGAGAGAGAGAAAAGGAGAATGTAATAATGAAGGGGAGAAGGAGGAAAAACAGGGCTCTGTTGTTTCTTTTTGTTTTTTTTAAATCTTTTTATGTCTTTAAAGTGAGGAAGATGAGGCAGAAGAGAAAGGAAAAGGACAGAGACACAGGCGGCGAGAGCAGAAAATGAGAGCCAGAGCTGCAGGAATACAGTACATCATATCATTTGGTGAAGATGTATTCTACGGTGCCGAGCTCTGAGTCATTAACTGTTAGGCCTGTCACTGTATTTCACTCTCATGAGGTGTTTACGTTGCACTGCTCCGCCGGTGTGTGTCATTCCACCACAGCAAGCCTTGTTGGAAGTGTGAACACAGTGTATTACTGTGTACGGTATCCACTTTCCCCGCAGAGCGTACACTACCTGTTATCGAATGTGCAACTGCAAAGCGAATTATAACCAGCTCCTTATCAAAATATACCTTACTGTACAGTTCATTATGTGCTCCATTTGGTGAAATCCTGTAAACTGCAGTGAGAGGGCTAACAGCACACAGACACACACAGACACACACAGACACACACAGACACACAGAGACACACACAGAGAGAAAGGAATGGAGAGTGGGAGAACGAGAGAGATGACTCTTTCATTTGATTTGCTACCATAAATGAATCTTTTGTTGGAATGCAAATGCTCACATTTAATTTTTCCCCCTCTTAGCTTTAAAAGCAACCCTCTCCAGTCTTAGGAGCCTGTTATAAGTCTATGGAGAATACACTGTGTATATATTTGGTAAACCGACAAACCCAGAAAATGTTTAGGTCAGGATCCATTAGATGAAAAGCGTCACGGTTTCTGTTTTCTAGACTTTCCTAGACTAGAGCATGTACCTCCGCCAAGGCCCAACAGTCACCTTCTGAAATCACATTATAATTCATAAATTCACTAGATCAGGATTTTCGATTGGGTTTGCATCATATTGCACACTCCTAAATATAAGTCCATTAAACATGCCTGATTTTTTTCCCATCAAGATCCATGAATAACTAAGGAATAATGAGGAAAATGTTGCAGAACGCTCTAAAACATTAAAGAAAGTGGAAAAAACTATTCCTATACCTGCACAGAATTTTTATGGATTCCTTCCAATAAATTTCATGATGAAAAAAAAAGCTTTTGTGTAATCCTGCTTACTAAAGGACAAACGAACAAAAACAACAACAAACAAACAGACAGATGTAAAAAATCACAAATTTATGACATTTTGGCTGAGAACTGAGTGTCATCACCGCTTAATATTATCATGTATTTTTTCTCTCTTGAAAGGGTGAAAAATCTTGAAAACCTGAAATTAAAAAACAAACTTGAGATCTTGAATTCCTCAAATGTGACTTGCTATCTAAATCATTAGAAAACTTACAGCGCATTAAAGAGTTTGTATTGGCACGGCGCTGATCTTCCATTTTGTCAATCACTGTAATAAGCAGCTTACTGTATCTACAGCATAATTATTTTTCTGCTGAGTCTGTTTAGTTTGTCTTTTTAAACAAAGAAAATGGCATTTACAGCATATCAGCCAGCAAACATGCCAGCGACTAAAAACACCTTCAGGAATATTTACTGAGCACTTAAGAGCAGGAATGTTCTCAGGCTGACAGAGACGGCTAATCAGGAAGATGAGAGAGAAAACATTCACACAGGAGCCAAAGCAGCCTCCTCTTTCTCTCCCCAAATTACCAGCCAATGCTTCACAATCAAAACACATCTCATCATTTCTCTGCTTAAACATTCGATTCACTCTGCATAATGTGCTCAGTGCAATTCTAAATCATTACGTACAGGATTTGATGGCTAGTGCATGTGTAATATAGTACAGTGAAGCTCCTTCAAAAACTTTCAAAGGTTTAAAAATATCAAAACTGTTTTGCAGGGGGGGTTTTGTCGCTGAAGGCAAATCAACCACTTTGAAGGTATATTCTTCTATAGAGAAGAACAGTGGAGCCTGTATTATTCATGCAACGACCAAAGAGACAAAAACTTGTATCGCCTCTGAACACGAAATGAAAGATTGATTCTTGGCATCAGTGTGATGGTGGGGAAACAATCACAGTGTTTTAGAGGATCAGATCCCCTCCCACCCCCTTAACTGTACATGCTTCTGCTGCAGCGAGAGCCTGCGGTGATTCTGAAAGAATCAGTCACAAGAGAGGCGGAAACCGCTCAGGTAGAAGTCGGCTGCTGGCATTCGTGCCTCTCTGAGCCCCCTTTTTCCCACTGAACTTCAGTGGAGGCAGTGTGCCAGACCCTTTGCTGCATTGGATCTGCTAGGGAAATGTGAATTGGGGAAGGAGTATGTGGAGTCTAGAGTGTGGAGTTGTTGGAAGTGCAGTGTGTGCAGCCCACATTTGGGCTTCTGCTGCTTCATTCCACACTGTCATCCAGAGTAATGAACCTTCTTCTCGTAGCCTATGGCACGGACTGCACTGTATCCGCACAGGCAGTTTTCAGTGGCCAACACCGAACATCTGAAATACAATATATAGTCTACTGTAAGCCATTAGAAGAAACTACATCTCTGTGAGTCATAGTAAGTGCTTGGAATAGGAAATGCTCATATTAAGATGAAGACTCGAGAAAACTGATTTATGTAGCCTCTGTAATTTCCTTGGGTCCATAGCTGTACTATAGTAAAAGATAAGATAAAGTGTTTGTGTGTGTGTGTGTGTGTGTGTGTGTGTGTGTGTGTGTGTCATGCAGGGTAATATGGGGAGCGGAGGAATGAAGAGAAGTGTGCAGCTGGAGCTCAATGCTCCTCGTGTTAATTGGCCCATACTTCAATCACAGTCAGTGGAGTGTGTCCTCTCTGACGGAACAGATCCTCTCCCTCTCCTCCTCTCTTTCCCAATCTTGCTCTCTCTTTCTCCCTCTCTGTCCTGCTGCACTTGTTCACCCACTCATCCGCTCACTCACAACACTCTAACTTGATGCACACACGGACATGAGCAGGCTCGCAGACACACTCCCCCTCTCAGTCTGTCTCAGTTCCACTTGTTTTGTTTCATTCATTCATTCATTCATTCATCCATTCATTCAGTCAGTCCGCCTGTTCATCCCACTCTGCAGCATCTCACTTTCACCAACTCTCCATCCCTCTCTTCCCCTCCTCCCACAACTCCCCCAGCTCTCACCCATTCTTTCTTTCCACTCATGTCTTTGTCCTGTATTTCACATTCGACTTCCTCCCCTCCCTCACTTCCTCTCTCATTTTCTCCTCTCCCTATCGCTCTCTTTCCCTCTCTTTGATCCCCGTCGAGTAGAAGAGCCACCAGGCAGGCGAACGGCTCCTGCTCCCATTGTGCATGGTGTGCAGAGTGATCAGCGAGTAGCGCAGTGTGCAGCAGCAGGGCGTACAGTACTGTGTGTTTTTACTGCATGGCTGTAAACAGCAGTAGTAAAGTCGGCTGCGGCTGCTGCTGCCGCCTCTGAGCTGCCACTGGCTCCCTCACACTTGATAGCCATGGCTATCATGAACCATTTCAGTGACAAACGATGGAGTCATCTATCAAATCTTTGTCTCACCAAGTCTACACAGGGAAAATGCAACACAATATTTATAAATTAAACATGCCACAGGCTGATAATCAGATTAAAGCTGGTCGCTCTCATAAACATGACACCATTTTTTACGTGGA